TCGTCACCTTCATCAAACAGATACAAAAGTATTTGAATTACTCCTCATATCAATTTGATGAATATAACAAATGAAGCAAAGTAGCGAGAGAAAAAGAAACTTACTAATATACGATCCACGTTGTGTAGGAAATCTACTTGGTGTGTTACAAGAATAGTGGTCTTGCTTTTTAGAGCTCCCCTCACGCATTCCTGTATAGAAGGCATTTGATAATCATTAAAAATCATATATTTTGCACCTAAACTAAGGAAGATTATTTATGTAGATATAGAGTTATTTTCGTAAATGGTGGGATATCTCAAGTTTGTTTACGATGTCAAACAAATTGGATCATGACCAAGACCTTAGTAGTTAGAATCTTGACAAAGTTTTGAGTTCAATCCTCTCTAATTTGAGACCAATCAAACTAGACTATACATCATTTCTTAACGTAACAATTCAATGACTTAAACTCTTCAAGCAACAGATTAGCACATGCCCGATACAAGGTAGCAATATATGAATAAGTAAAATTACACTCAAACGTAATCCAGAGTATGAGTCTTTAACGTTCAGAATAATCACCTTAAATATTTCAGAGCCAGTATGAGCATCAACAGCACTGAAGACATCATCAAGAAGATATACATCACAGTCTTGATACACAGCCCTGGCAAGTTGTATACGCTGCTTCTGGCCTCCACTCAGGTTGATACCACGCTCTCCAATTTCTGTCTGATCCCCATAATCCATCATGTCCAAATCTTTCTCCAAACAACACACCCTGATAGCTTCATTGTACCTCTGTCTGTCCATCGGTAAACCAAAGAGAATGTTTTCTTCAATGGTCCCATTTTGAATCCAAGATGTTTGTGCAACATAAGCAACACTCCCACAAACCCGAACCTTCCACAGAAATATATGTTTACAGAATCAGACTCAACCATAAACATCCTTAAAAAAGGTTATAAATTCTGAACCAGAAATCATACCTTTCCAGAAATCTTTCGCATCTCTCCAAGAATTGATGCAAGAAGGGATGACTTTCCTGACCCTACAGTCCCAACAATTGCTGTAAGCTCACCCTTTTTTATCTTCAAATTGATATTTTTCAAGTCCTCGTGCATGTTATCATCATCCCAACTAAAAGTCCCATCTATGATTTCAACTGCCGTTTGTCCACCACAGCCTTCCTCTCTCTCAACTGAATCCTTCGACAATTCCCCGCTCAACATGAACCTATCTAACCTCTCCAGTGATATCATTGCTTGTGAAAGAGATATCATAGACTGTGGGAAAGTCCTAATAGGCTCCTGCAATAACCTGAACACAGCTGTTGTCGTGAACACAGTGGCTGCATCAAGTTGAACTCCCAGCAAAATAGCCGTTCCAAATGTAAGAGTTGACACCAACAATGGTGTGCTCCACATCACAACGATAGAGCCAAAAATTGAGAACATCAACTTGGAGAGCCACCCATACTCCGTCTCACGGAAACCCATAATTCTCTGCTTGAAATGTTCCTCCCAAGCCTGAAACTTGATCACACGCATGTAGTTAAGCATCTCATTCACAGCTTTCATTCGCGAGTCCCGGTTCACCATCACATTGTGTTGGAACTTGTTGTTTCTTTGGTTGCTCACCACAGAATAGACAAAAACACAAAGCAGACCAAGAAACGCGGAGACAACTGAGGCACCTAAACAATTGTAAAGCAGAACCAAGCCAATACCAACTTGGAGTGGCATCATCCACACAGCATGTAAATGAAGCATCATGTCAGAGAGTTGCTGGGTATCCACAGCCATATAATTCACAATTGTCCCTACTCCATGATCCTGCCGAGAAGAGCATGATAGCTTTAACCCCTTTTTATACAAAGAGGAGATAAGAGTGCACCGTAGAAGCATCCCAAGCTTTTGAGCTTGGAAGTTGAAGTGATGAGTACTCATGACTTCAACGAACTTAGCAACAAGAAGAATCATCACGAGGTAGTATCCTTCGTATTCGGAGCTTCTCTTCCCTGATGTGAAATCAACAAAATTTTGTATCAGAACCGGCCCCACGAACATGACACAGAGCCTAATGATTGCAAGGAAGGCGGTGAAGGCTAGCTCCTTCCAAAAGCACCGAAGCAAAGTCATTCCAACAGGATGCTTTGGTGTCTCCTTTGATTGGGGCCATTTTGATTCAAAAATAGATGACATTCTCTCAGCTCTGTGCTCTGGAGAAAGCGTCGGAATATCATCAATCTTCAGCACGGACTTGTGCCCTTTACTCAATAAGGGGTTTATCCAAATCCAAAATGCCTTGGATAATAGAGAAGCTGAAGCAAAGCCAGTAACCTCGGATTTTCTAGTAGTACCATCATGCAACTTAGTTTTTTCTTCAACAAGTGGTCGTGTTTCTTCTGTCGACAAAACCATGCCGGTGGATCCTTCAACGGCCACAAAAAGAAGAAATAACGATAGAGGGAACGAAATGAAAGAGACCACGTCGTCCACCCTGAAGCCTTTGGTGTCATCCACGTCCACAGACATCAAACGTATAACCGCAGAAACAGTGAACAACGAAATGATAAAGAAATTTACAATCCAGTAAATTCGAACCGATCGAGGGTGTGCAACGGTTTGCAACCTTTTCTCATGGATGATAAAGAGTGCAAGTACAACATGTGTTATGGCCTGAACTAACCAAAACACCTCGTCAACTTGCTTCGACAGCCCCATGGAGGAACTGCTAAACGCAAGAACGGAAGCAACCGTGTAGAGTATAGTCAAAACAACCACTGCAGTTATGGTTAACTTGAACCGCATAGTTGTCAAGAAAACGAATCTATTGTTTCCGATTAATGGTTTGTTGAGGTCGGTGGAGGAACCACCATTGAAAGAGGACTTTTTCCAGAGCTTGGTGGCAGTAAACACGAAGAGAAACAAGAGGAGCACAACATCAACGAAAGACATTATAGCTCTTTGAGGACAAGGTGTGAGGAAGATATATCTCAGCCATTGAAGCATGGTTGAGATAAACGTGTCCCCTGAGGTTTGTTTCACAGGGAATGCACATGGGAGAGTTGAAAATGCAAGGGACATGTTTGCCTACCCTGGTTCAACTTCACCTTCAATTTTTCTCTCAGGGAGACTCTGCTACTTCATGCACCTCTCAGAAACACGGGTATTTAATAAGATTTTAAAACGCACACAAATTTGCACGAGACAATGATTGAGTTTCTTAAAATGTAAAAAAGGACATGAATCAGGCCAAGTATTGCCTTCCCTTTCTGTGGTATTTTACATTTATGAATTACTAATTACTAATCAATGAAACTGGTTACAGATAAAAAAAAATTTAAAGAATTAGAAATTTGCGGTATTTGTGTTGGAAGTTACAGCTCAAATATGTGTTGGAAGTTAAATAGGAAGTGTGAAGAAGGAAAAGCTGCATTTTTTATCAGAATATGCCTTTTGCCAGCAAAACCTTTCATGTGTTTCGTACTTCACGTGTAACCGAAATATAGTAATTAACTGCAGTTCCTGAGTTCTTCGTCATGCAAGGTACAGACAGATAAGGGACTACCTTAAAATAATTTGTTTGTGCATATATATGGAAAATTTTTCTGCCGCTACTTTTTTATTTTGTTTTTTTGTTTTACAAGGTTCTCGTAACATAACAGGACATATACTAAATGACATGGCTTTCAATTTCAAAAGTTTAATAAAGAGTTTGTGTTAAATTGGTTCAATAAAATATTAGTTTTAATTTTTTGTATGTAATATATAGATGAACATTTTTTGTGTACCGGGGCCAGAGTTCATTAAACTAATATCCAATATATTAATTAAATTTGCAATTACTTAGTAATAAATAGAGGGGATGAAGATGTGATGCACAAAAGATTTTGGATGCAGAAAAATAATGTAGGGAGGGAGTCAGAATTCTTCTAACATTTCAGTTTTTTTGGTAAAAAATTTAATTCTTTATATTTTATTTCTATTTATTAATATCACAGCTTTTATTGCTTGCAAATTATTATTATTTTCTATTTTTTATAGTAGGAACTATTTGACAAAAGGAAGAAAACTAATTAATCAAAACTTGGATAAATTCAAGAACATATACTTATTTGGAAAAACTTAAACTTTGAGTGAATAGTTACTTATCTTTTTAAGAATAATTTAAATAAATTAATAATTTTTCTTTAGATAAAACACATATTAGAAAACACGAGTATCATTTTCAGTAGTAAATAAAAAACCGATATTAATTAAAAATAATGCATGATAGTTACTCCTTGAAAATTATTTATTTTCTAAGGTGATATATATGTGTTAACCTTATTTAAGAAATTATTTATTTTTTAAAGTGGTAGACGTTTTAACAGAAATAAAAATAATAAAATGATAAATGTATTAGCCTAAGCATACAACTACATTAATTTTAAATAAAAAGGTTTGATATTTAAAGATAAATCTAATAGTTTAACTATTATTTATTATAATATAATATTATTTAGTTATAATAACATCTTACAATTTCTTACAATCATATTAATTTTGTTAATGTAAGATATAAATTACTGAGTTGTATATAAGAATATTTTTATAAATTCACTTGAATACAATCTCTTAATATTTATAATTATTTATTATTTTATTTTTTATTTATTAAATTGAGCATCTTGATTTATTAGTAAATCTGCATTTAATTCTTAATTTCCGTAGCTAGATTAACATTTCACACTTACAATCTGTGAATTTCTACATTCTTATAGATGTGTAACAAATGAAATAATTGCATCTACAAAAATATGAAATGAAAATGTGTCCCTTTATTTTAAAGAATTCAAAAATGGACAAAAGGCTTTGAATTTCAGTCAATGTAAAACACAAACAAGCACCCAAAACAGAGTCTCGTCCAACACTTTCAACATATACCGCAATATAATATGGCAATGGCTATTTTTTTTTGGCTAAAAGACCAAGACAAATGTGTGTGGAGGAGCACGAGAGATTCTTAATTTCTTATAGTCCACTGGAGCGGTTGGCATATTCTTCAACTAATGCCCCAAAGAGAGATTTCTTCTTAAGCAAATTTGAAGGCTTATCATATTCTTTCGCTCGCCCTATTACAAGCAAAACAACAACATTATTTAGGCTACAATGGTGAAAGGATAAGGATGATCCAGTGAGTAATAGAATGCAAAGAGAATATGATAGATACCTGCATCAACAACTAAAACTCTGTCACAGTCCATGACTGTGGGTATTCTGTGAGCAATGCTGATGATGGTGCATAATGCAAACTCCTCTCTTATGATCTTCTGAATCACACCATCAGTTTGAGAATCAACAGAAGCTGTTGCCTCATCCATGAACAAAAGTCGGCTTTTCTTAAGTATAACCCTCCCTAGACAAAGTAACTGTCTCTGTCCCACACTCCAGTTCTCTCCATTATCCACCACTTCAAAGATTACACAGCATCCCCATTAGTAAAACAATTAAAAGGAAACAACTCAGAGAAATATGGTTGAGGTATCTACCTAAAGAGTCTAGTTTTTCAGGCTTGGCAGCAACAACATCTTTTAGTTGACAACGTTCCAAGCCCTACAACAATAACAAGTTTTTAGATATTGGATTCAAAACCATCATCAGGAAAGTAGATGGATTTCAATTGACCCATTTCTTACCTTCCATATTTCTTCATCTGTATATTCTCCAATTGGATCAATGTTGCTTCTCACAGTTCCTTCAAAAAGCACTGGTTCTTGAGGAATGATACCAAACCGTGATCTAAGATCGTGAAGTCCCAAGAAGGATATGTCAACACCGTCAATTATTATTTTTCCTTCCGAAGGTTCCACCAGCCTAAAGAATACTTGAATTAAAGTTGACTTTCCGCTACCAGTTCGACCCACAACACCAACTTTTTCACCTCCACTAATGCTTAAAGTAATTCCTTTCAGAACCAGAGGAGTGTTTGGACGATATCTGACCTGTTCATCAGGAGCTCAAGTCATCATAACAATGTTGCACAGCAAATTAATAACAGAAAACTCTTAATTAGAAATATTGCTGGGGTTAGTTGCTTAAACCACTAGAAATAAATGAAGTATTTTGCAAATACATAGGTGCTTTCTAAATTAAGGAGTATTACAAAACTTAGAACGTTTTCCCAAGCTGTAGAGACTGAGATAGTGTTCTCACAACTCAACTTGCAAAAGACCATTTCAGAGCGTGTTCTCATACGTTGCAAAAGACTATTTCAGAGAATGTTACAGAGAACGTTACAGACCCACTACCAAATTTTTCCGCTGCAGACTTTCTCCTATAAATAGATATCACTTCACACTTTTCAAAAACACACCTCTCTTATCTTCTTTACTCTAATCTTCTTCTTGTTCTCCTGGGTAAATTTACTCTTTTGAAAGTTTCTTGCTAGTTTCTAAGATCGTTGGATATTTTGAGAAATTTCTGTTGTATCTTGGAGGACTTGCGCAATACACCACGGATAAGTTCTTAACACGCTTCAGGAATAAAGTTCGTTCGTATTTTTGTCAGATTTTACAACAATCTTAAGCACTTATAGTTGACAATACGAATATCAACAATTTCCTTCAACAGTTTTATAATATTGGATATTGAAAAAAAAAATTATGAAGTGCTCATGGATCAAAATTAGTCTTCTGATTATAATTCACGTATGTTACGTGAAAATCAATTCATGTATGTTATTATTATATGATTATGATTCATGTATGTTATTATGTGAGAATAAATAATCTAAACCTGAAGAGTAGTTTTATAGAATTAATAACCTATAAAAACTACAAATTAAAATACATGTGGTATCAGAGTCATACTTATTAGATTTATGATTTTTCTCTTGTGATCATTTTTAAATTACGCTTTTCCCAACTTAAGATAAATCCTAATTAAGAATTTAGGATTTCTATATCATATTAACATGAACCCTAATTTATGTTTTCAGTTACAATCAATTTCTTATTGAAATGTGAATGACCCTGTAATTCTTATTAAAAGACAAATGATGTGATTGGGTTAAAGTGAATCATGTATGAAATTGGTTTCACTACATGTTATAATTATGATAGAAAATGTTTGGATGTTATAATTATGATAGAAAATTTTTGGAGCAGAGTGATGTCATCAAACACATGTTCCTTTTTCTTACACCAATGCAATAAAGAAAATGAAAAATGCATTATGCATAATTATTTTATGTTATGGGAGAAATTATGCAAAATTATTATATGTTATGCGAGATTTTCTTTGTGAATAATTAGCAGTTACATGTATGCAATGCATGACTTAGATCTACAAATTATTTTGTTCATACGTGTGTAGGATATTATTTTGTCTACATATTATTTTGCACATACTTATAAAAGAAAGTTTGAGATTGTATGAAAGTAATGAATCTAACCCCACTTTATCTTCGAGAAGAAGGGAAATGATTTTGTCTGTGGAAAGTCAGGTCATCATGCACCTCAGTGCATATATAAAATAAGAAACGACAATTCTCCTAACGCAAATTTAGCCAAAGCAGAAGAGACAATTATTGCGGTCGTTTCTCAAATAGGTGGTAGACTCTCGTGCTACCAGACACATCTATGCAAACAGAAGTGTTGTTACCTCCTACACTAGTGTGGGGATGGAGAAGAACATGTTTATCTTCGTGATTTTAGGACAACTCCTGTCTTAGGAAATGAAAAAGTTCTTCTAAAGCTCACATTTGAAAAGACTCTGGCCTTGAATGATATGCTACATGTGCCATTAGTCAGAGCTAATATAATCTCTCTAACACTGTTGAGAAAAGTTAGGGTTAAAGTGTCATTCGAATCTGATAAGATTGTTATGACAAAAAATAATGTGTTTGTAGGGAAGGGATATTGTGATCAAGGTTTTTTTGTACTTAACATCTCTGAGGTTGTTAATAAATCTTGTTTTTCTGCTTATATTATTGATTCATATGATTTGTGATATTTATAGATGACTACTCTACATACACCAAAGTATACTTAATCAAACAACTCTAGTGCACCAAATAACCTCTGAGAGAAGATATACTTACAGTGTGTTTTTTTAAAGAAAACTAGTAAAACTTCTTATGAGTTATGGAGAGGTTATAGACCTAATCTTAAACATTTAAGAGTGTGGAGGTGTCTAGCTAAGGTAATGTTACCCAATAATAAGAAAAGGAAAATAGGTTCTAAAATTTCTGATTGTATGTTCTTAGACTATGCAGAACATAGTGCTGCCTATAGGTTTTTTGTCCTCAAAAGTGATGTAATTGAGCATAATACTATAGTAGAGACAAAAAATGTTGAATTATTTTAACATATTTAAAGGTTAGTGAGACACTTAAACCATCTATAGATATTAACAGTAATAAAATAAATGAGGATTTGATGAGAAGTGAAAGACAGAGGAAAGAAACCTCCTTTGGAGATAATTTCTATACTTATCTAGTTGAAAATGATTCAATGAGTTTTTTAGAGGCTACTAGGGCTCTTGGGATAAGGCCATTAAGAATGAAATTGATTTAATTAAGAAAAATAATACTTGGAATTTGGTAGATTTGCCTAAATGAACAAAACCTATTGGTTGTAAGTGGATCTTTAAGAAAAAGTATCATCCTAATGGATCCATAGATAAATATAAGGCAAGATTAGTAGCAAAGGGTTTTACTCAAAAATCCAACATTGATTATTTTGACACTTTTGCCCCTGTGGCTAGGATTTCCTTTATTCGAGTTTTGTTACCTCTAGCAGCTAACCATAAACTAGTTATACACCAAGATGTTAAGACCGCCTTTTTGAATGGTGAATTAGAGGAGGAAATTTGTATGACTCAACCTGAAGGGTGTGTTGTTCCAGGTCAAGAGAACAAAGTGTGCAAACTTTAAAAATCCTTGTATGGATTAAAACAAGCACCAAAACAATGACATGAAAAACTTGATAATGTTCTACTTTGTAATGACTTTTCAACTAATGATGCTGATAAATGTGTGTACTCTAAATTTGAGAGTGGTGAATGTGTCATTATGTTTATATGTAGATGACATGTTAATATTTGGTACATGCATTGACATTATCTCCAAAATTAAGTTGTTTTTGGAATCTAAATTTGAAATGAAAGATATGGGTGAAGCCAATGTGATTTTGGAAGTTAAAATCATAAGGAATGTTGATAGTATTTTTCTATCCCAAGCACGATATATTGAGAAACTTCTTAGGAAGTTTGGACTGGTTAGTGAATACCCCTTACAACGCTAATTTTATGTTAAAGAAAAATAGAGGAGACTCAATCTCTCAACCTCAATATGCCCAGATAATTGGGAGCTTACTGCATTTAATGAATTTTTCTAGACCTGAAATTGCTTATGCAGTAGGTAGACTGGATAGGTACACTCAATGTCCTAATCAATAACATTGGAATGCACTTACAAGACTTATGAGATACTTAAGAGGTTAAATGGATTATTTCATTGAATATAGTGGATTTTCCGCTGTACTAGGAATGTACAATGACGCTAAGTGAATCTCTGATTCAGATGAGACAAAATCTACTAGTGGTTATGTATTCACACTCGAGGGTGGTGCGATTACATGAAAATCAGTCAGGCAGACAATTATTGCAAGATCAACAATGAAATCTGAATTTGTTGCTCTCGATATGGCTGGTAGTGAAACTGAGTGGTTGAAAAACTTATTAGTAAATATTCCATTAGGAATGAAACCGACCTCGTCTATATCAATACATTGTGATTGTCAATCGGCAATAACTATTACTAAAAATAAGAACTATAATGGAAAAAACAGACATATACAATTGAGACATAGTTTAGTGAAGCAGCTGCTAAAGAATGGAACAATTTCCATTGATTATGTGAAGTCAGAACGGAATCTAGCAGATCCTCTTACAAAACCCTTAGGAGAAATATGACTTTAAAAACATCGAGAGGAATGAGACTTAAGCAACTTGTAAACAAACAGGTGACGGTAACCCAACCTTTGTGATTGGACATCCCATGAATAAGGTTCATATGGGTAAAAACAAGTTACTTGTTAGTTCTGTTAACACTAAAATTGATTAAAATCAATTATGTTCATTCCTATGGTGTATATGTGAAAGTGCTAGATACTGTATCGTTGAGAGGTTAAACTTTGTAATTAAAATTTAATGTGGTGTACAAATTTTAGTATAAACAAAGTTTTTAACGATTTCATATCTTTTAAGGGTGGTGTATGATTTGCAGCATACGCTTGATGGAGTCACCTATATGAGTGTCGAGTGGGGCCACTTGTATGAGATCTTTGCAAGATTTCTAGAGCACACATGAATACCGGACACACGCATGACCTAATAAGCGCAACACATTGATAACAACAAGAACTGTGGAGGTGTATTGTGATTATTAAAACCGCTAACACACATTAAATGTTTTGGTTCATATAGCTTGTTATACCAACTACACTATGTGTTAAGTTTTTCAGTACCAGCTCTGATGCATTACATTTTATGAGACCCAAGATTTTTCTTTTTTTATTTCTTTATCTCTTTTTTGTTTTGCAATATGTGAGAATTGTTGTAAATTAAGAGGTATTGCAAAACTTAGAACGGTATTGCAATATCCTGTAGAGATCATTTTGCAAATACATAGGTGCTTTCAAATGTAAAACAATGAATTTTTTCATGCTCAAGTTACCTGCAAATCTTTGATATCAACACTGCCTTGACCTGGCCAATTTGAAGGAGGTAGATGATCCTTGATATTCCATGCTGGTTCCGATGGAATATTTATAAACTGCTTTATCCTCTCAACAGACACCATCATGTTTTCGATGAAACAGCTCAAGTATATTGCCCAAAACAAGATACCATTTAAGGACAACCCATAAGAGAGGGATAAACCGACATTTTCTACATGAACCAGATGATTAATTTGAAGAAGCACTATTGTAGTGACAATATTGCGTAACTAATTGCAATAGAAGTTTAGATTTCCTGAATCAATTTACCTGGCTTTATGATACTACTGGGTAAGATGATCATGAACATGGCAGAAATACAAAGGACAAAGCTTCCAAGCAACTCTAAGCGTATTCCCAACCACACATTGGAGCTATAGTTGTGAAAATCCATACGCAAATTATCATCCACCCGTTTGAGATTTTCTTGACAAAAATTCTTCTGCCGTCTAAATGCACGAATTGTCATGACCCCTGCAATGCTTTCAGAGAAGTGATGAAGAACTGGTGCTTTGGTAATTAAATCCAAACGAGTTAATTCACGAGATGATGCAAGATAATAATCCTGGAAATCCATAAAAGATACAGAAAACACAATTTGTTAAGAAAAGTATATAAGGCACATGAAATTGTGAAGAAACTACATTCTGATTACTGTTTAACATGGATATAATATGTCAAACAAGTGAGTGTAGCAAATATTGTTCTCTGTAAATAGTATTGGACGTTATAGTATATAGATAAATTTATTCACGTGATTAGATGAAACAAATTTTCGGGTTCTATAGATTTGCAATCAAAGGCAGAGCATTTGACAATCAGGTAATAAAATTCATACCCGATACCACATATTCAACAAAATAAGAGGGAATATCAAAAACACTGTTGGCCATGAATTTTGACAGGTGACAATGAAGATGCTGATCACTGTAACGTAAGAGGAAATAAGAATTCCCGTGAACAAGGGAAGAAGGACATCAACATTAGTCTGATCAGAGGATGCCTGTAGAAGTAAAGAAAAAAAAAGTCATTATAAGTGTGTGATTAACATATTAAATATAAATTTTATATCATTAAGGATTAGAATCTTGCATGTAATTAATGTTTAACTTAACATACTTGGCGGCACTAAAGTTCTTACCCTGCTTAGAATTCTTCCAGAGGGAGTAGTGTCATAGAAAGACATAGGCGCATGCAAGATGCTACGAAGAATTTGTGCGAAGAAAATTTGTGCTGTCTTTAGCCCCAATATTGTAAAGAAGTAACATCTCATCACTACCAAGATAACCGAAACAGCGGCAATAATTGCATAGATGGAGATGAACAGAGAAGGATTAACTATTCCACTTTCTTCTGAAGTTTCATACGCCAGCCAGTAATCACTTGCCATCAAAGACCCTTGCCATAACAAAGAAAGAACCAATACTAATGCAATACCCCACCACCCAAAAGCCTCAGTGAAGTAGAGTTTATAGATATGTAAGCTCAATTTGCCGATTTCTTTTTCCTCTTCTTTGATGAGTTTAGAACTTTTGTTGCTAGATCTGGCCTGCTCAAGAGAATTGCTTTCACCATTGGCTCCCTTGTAAATAGAAGCCACCTCTGGAGATTTCGTTGGCTTGTTGAAATTTTCAGCAGGCATGACCACACTCTGCTCTACCAGTTCCATGGAGGTCTCATGTGCAACCACCAGAGCTTTAAAATCCATTCCAGATTCTACTAAATTATCGTACTTTCCTGATTGGGTTATCATACCGTCCCTCATCACCTTTGTCAAGCACATACATCAGTTTTTGAGTAACTATCCCAATTAAGTTGAAGATTACAAACGAACGAAGCATAATAGCATGAGCAAAACAGACTTACAAATATTTGATCCACGTTATGTAAGAAATCTACTTGGTGCGTTACAAGAAGAGTGGTCTTGCCTTTCAGAGCTCCCCTTACACATTCCTGTATAAAAGGCATATGATAAACATTAAAAGTCTTAATGTTGCATCTAACGAACAGAAATTATGTACGTGGATAAACATTAGTTTATGGTGTCGAATGGATTGCATCATCTCATAAATAAACATTTGAGTCTTGACTAGGTTATGGGTTAAACCCACTTAATGCAACAATTCGACGAAGATTACTTGAACTCTTCACTCAATAAACTAGCACAGAATGGGTAAAATTAAAGTTGAAAATAATGCGAAGTAGAACACTTCAACTTTGAGAATAGCGACCTTAAATATTTCAGAACCAGTATGAGCATCAACAGCACTGAAGACATCATCAAGAAGATATACATCACAGTCTTGATACACAGCCCTGGCAAGTTGTATACGCTGCTTCTGGCCTCCACTCAGGTTGATACCACGCTCTCCAATTTCTGTCTGATCCCCATAATCCATCATTTCCAAATCTTTCTCCAAACAACACACCCTGATAGCTTCATTGTACCTCTGTCTGTCCATAGGTAAACCAAAGAGAATGTTTTCTTCAATGGTCCCATTTTGAATCCAAGATGTTTGTGCAACATAAGCAACACTCCCACAAACCCGAACCTTCCACAGAAATATATTATTACTATAATCAGACTCAACCATAAACATTTAAATTAAAAAATATATATATTTCTGAATTCTGAAGCAGAAAATCATACCTTTCCAGAAATCTTACGCAGCTCTCCAAGAATGGATGCGAGGAGAGAGGACTTTCCTGATCCTACAGTCCCAACAATAGCCGAAACATTCCCCTTTTTTATCTCCAAATTAATATCTTTCAAGTCCTGCTGCGTGTTACCATCATCCCAACTAAAAGTCCCATCTGCGATTTCCACTGCTGTTTGTCCATCACATCCTTCTTTTCGCTCAATTGAATCATCCAACAATTCCCTGCTCAACATGAACTTATCTATCCTCTCCAGTGATATCAATGCTTGTGAGAGAGATATCATAGACTGTGGGAATGTTGTAATAGGCTCCTGCAATATCTTGAACACGGCTGTCGTTGTGAAGACCGTTGTAGCATCAAGTTGAACTCCCAGAAAAATAGCCGTACCAAACGTGAGAGTTGATATCAACAAGGGCGCGCTCCACATCAAAACCATATTGGCACATGTAGTGAACATAAACTTGGAGAGCCATCCAAACTCGGTCTGACGGAATCCCATAATTCTCTGGTTGAAATGATCCTCCCAGGCCTGAAATTTGATCACGCGCATGTAATTAAGCGTCTCATTCATAGCTTTCATTCTTGAGTCACGGTTCCCCATTACATTATATTGAAAGTGATTGTTCCTACGGGTACCAATCACAGCAAACACAAAAACACCAAGAAGACCAAGAAACGCGGTGATCACTGAAGCACCAAGGCAATTGTAAAGCAGAACCAAGCCAATGGCAACCTGAAGTGGCATCATCCACGCAGTATTTAGCCGAAGCATCATGTCAGAGAGTTGCTGGGTATCAACAGCTATGTAATTCGCAATGGTTCCCATCCCATGATCCTGCCGAGCGGAGAATGATAGTTTTAACCCTTTCTCATACAAAGCGGGGATAAGAGTGCTCCGTATAAGCGTCCCAAGCTTCTGAGATTGGAAGTTGACATGATGAGAAGCCATGACTTCAATGAACTTAGCAATGAGAAGAATCGACACGAGGTAGTATCCTTCATATTCAGACCTTCTCTTCCCTGATGTGAAATCAACAAAACTTTGTATTAGAACTGGCCCGACAAACATGACACAGAGCCTAATGAATGCAAGGAAGGCAGTGAAGGCTATCTCCTTCCAAAAGCACCGAAGCAAAGTCATTCTAACCGGATGCTTTGATGTGTCGTTTGGTTGAGGCCATTTTGATTCAAAAATAGACGACATTCTCTCAGCTCTATGCTGTGGAGAAAGCGTTGGAACATCATCAGTCTTCAGTGCGGACTTGTACCCTTTACGCAACAAGGTATTAATCCAAGTCAAAAAAGCCTTAGATAATATAGAAGCTGAAGCGAAGCCAGTAACCTCAGATTTTCTCTCACTCCCATCATACAATTTGGTTTCCTCGAAAAAAGGTTTTTGAATTTCTTCTGTCGACAAAACAATGCCGGTGGTCCCTTTAACCGCAGCAAAAAGAAGAATTAACGACAGAGGAAGTGAAATGAAAAAGACCACGTCATCCACAATGAAGTCGTTTCTTTCACTCACGTACACGGTGACCAAACGCATAACCGCAGAAACCGTGAACAACGAAGTGACAAAGAAATTCACGATCCAATAAACTCGAACTGTAAGAGGGTGGGTAACGGCTTCAAATATTTTCTCATGGATGATTAAGACTACAAGCACCACATGCGTTATGGCCTGGACTAACCAAAATGCGTCGTCAACTTGTTTCCACGGCACCTTGGAGGAACTTCTAAACGCAAGAACGCTAGCAACCGTGTAAAGTATAGTTAAAACAACCTCTGCGGTTAAGGATAGCTTGAAGCGAATAGTTGTTAAGAAAATGCATCGGTTACTTCTGACGAGTGGCTCATTGAGGTGAGTGGCGAAACCGGCACCGGAGGTGAACCTTTTCCAGAGCTTGGTGACAGCAAACACGAAGAGAAACAAGAGGAGCATGACATCCAGGAAAGATAATATAGCTCTTTGAGGACATGGCGAGAGGAAGAGAAATCTCAGGCATTGCAGCATTGTTGAGATAAACGTGTCCCCTGAGGTTTGCTTCACAGGGAATGTACATGAGAGGGATGTTATCCATGTTGAAGCTGCGACGGACATGGTTGTTTCTGCCATTAGGATAAACTTCACCTTCGACTATGTGTCTTAGTGAAATAATTCTTAGACTAGAGAATCTGAGCTATGGAGTAAAATACTATTTAATGATTATACACTGCATCTGGCTAGATCAGGAAAAATTATACAAAAATGCACTATAAATACTGCATTTGGCTAGAACAGACAAAATTGCACTAAAAATCATGAGAATGAATAATTAGTCCGTAGCAGTGGATGAAAAAGTTTGAGAATGTTTATAAATTGACAGCCCGTACTCCTTATTATAATAGTTTATCCGGGGTGTTGGAAGAATGTTTTTGAAAACAGTTGTCAAAACATGTTTGTAAAGTGAAGTTTTGATATTTCCACACCTCATAAGATATCCATATTATTATATTATATTTATAAAGTAATTATTTAAAATAAAAGTAATTAAAAATTATTATTTTATTAATAAATGAAATTGTTAAATGGGATATTGGTCGTAAATTTTTTTATATAAAAAAATTGTGTAAAATTAAACTTTTTATTTTTACTTGTTATAATATACATTTTTAAATTATATGTAAAAAATATTACAATGATAAGTAAATATATATATATATATATATTTAATCAAATAACATTTTTTATTATTTTTACTTGTTTTCCTTTATTTATTTGTATCTCTATAATAGAGGGGGACATAGGTAGATGAGGGAAAAAATAAAACAAAAAATAAAATGAAAATATGTGTTTGGTTAAATAAAAAAAATAATTTAAATACAATTTAATAATTGACAATAATTTGTTCTATAATAATTGTGACAGTTGTTTATGTTCTTTTATAAGTAGTTCACTTACCATTCAAATATGGTGCAATGATAAATAAATGGTATAATACTATAATTCCGAAACAAATTGATTTTTTGTGTTTTAAAACCATCGAACTTTCTTTAAGTATTGTAAAATAACATTCCTATGTATTTTTTCTTTGATGTCTCTCGTCAATTGCAGTTAATTAAAGAATTCCAAACACATTTTATTTTAATTTTCAATATGATATTTATGGAGTATTTTTAGCTTTTCATTTTTTATTTTTTTTATTTCATTATCCAGCATTTCCTTTTATACACATTGATCGTCATTTATAGATATTAAATTGTGATTTTATGATTTCATAAACTTTTTAAATATTTGTTTACGGGTCAATTACTTTTGACTAGTTGGTATTTGAAGGGATATGATGATACCAATTTATGGAACATTCTCCATACCAACAACCCCTCCAGCATCAAACTTTAATTAATACTTGTAAATATCATGAACTATTTTAATAAGATGATTTCCGATCAAGTTATTCATAAAAGATAGTTTTAAAATTAAATAACATTTCTTAAAACAAAATCTATCTCCCACCAAATGATATAATCAATTTTAAGATTTTTAAAATAATTTTAAACATTCACTTTAACCATAAGTGTGTGAGATTTATCATCTTATTCCAAATTTCTTAAGTTATTAAACTTACGAATGAGAGCAATTAACTTTTGATATTGGGGTTTAATTATTTTAAAGAATAAGGTATTATTACACTTTGTGCACTTACAATGTTACCGTGGTCTTCGAAAATGATTGTAATCTATTATAGTAAGAATCAATATTATAACTACTAAGGAAAAACTTTCACTTGAATAAATGTTGTAGACATTGAAGGATTTTGATTGAGAGTGACCTCATTGTTTTCGGATATGGTAAAATAAAAGTATTGTACATAAGAACTGGACGATCCTATCTAGTCAAATACTTAGCAACAAACACCTATGTTCCTTTTATTATAGTATTTTTGAACAAGTTCATGGATAACAAGCCTAAGAGTTTTTTTTATTGATGATAATGACGATATCGACCGTAACCTTAATATGGAGTTAGAGCTTCTAACTATCACGAATATGCTAACTATGGATATGATATTAGAAATGTACCAATTTTATATTAACTTTCACTTCAAATTAGCAAAAATAATGTTTCCTTGCATAATATGGATTTATAGCATTCATGATCTGAATGTGAATGAGTCGAATTACTTATTCCTCGGTCTTTTAGTAAACTATCTCTCCAGGAATTGTGAAAGATTGTAAAATTTTGAATGTCTCATTCCATACCAGAAGACTAAATTATTTAGACTAAAAGATAAATCTAAACTTAATAACAAAGTAATAATAAAACAAAACATCTCAAATATTGTATTACAAAACTTTAGAATCTAATATATCCATTTCTTATAAAGAAAATTGAACTTTATCATTTGAGTCAATATGTAATTATATATAATTGTCATTATTTTCTCACTACAAGAAAATTATTAATTACATGACAGATAAGTAGTCGTCGGAAAATGATTATCGGCGAATTTTAAAGTAGGTGTGAATTTTGGTCTTACTAAGCGGATATATCCATCGGTAAATAAACAATTAATTAGCGACGAATATATCTGTTGATAAATTAACAATTTTGGTAAATAAACAATTAGTTATCGACGGATATAGTCATCGATAAATTAACAATTAGTTACAGACCAACATTACCAACGAATTTAAAGTATATTTTTAAAAATCAACCTTAAATTAAAAAAATAAATATTTAAAATTATATAATAATTATTTAATTTTAAATATATTCTAATAAATTAATTATTCACCTAATTAAAAAATTAAATACATTTTTTATTTAATAATTTAATTTAATCATAATTAGATTAATTTATAATAATTTGTTAAATTAAATAATTTTAAAAATAAATATTTAAGTATTTTTAATATTGAAAAATTATTTTAATATAAGAATTTTAATTAAATAATAGAAGGAAAAAAAGATAAAAAGAATAAATTAAAATAAAATAAAATAAAATTATTTATATCATTATATAAATAAATTATAAATATTATATTTTATTATTAAATTACAAACTCATATAAAGAGACACGCTCACAAATTTGACATCAAAATTTTGAAAACTCACTCGACACGCACTTTTACCTTCGAGTAGCGCCCTCACATCTAACATATAAATATATCAAAATATATAAATATATTTGTATTTATATATTTACACGGATAAACATTTATTTGTATATAAATATAATTTATTTGTAAATTATTATCAACAAATTCTAGTAAATTAGTGGTTAGAGTATATATCAACCTCCAACTTTAAGGTATTGGATACTCTCTAACAATATGACAATCAATATCAAGATGTTTATAGTTCCTTCATGAAAACTAAATTAATAACTATATAAACTTATCATTTAATAATTTTCTAAGATGTTAAGTATTCTAATTACGATATATCTGTTAACCTTATTTAAGAATTTATTTATTTTTAAAGTGATGGAAGTTTTAACAGAAATAAAAATAATAAAATGATAAATGTATTAGCCTAAGCATATAACTTCCTTTTATTTTATTTTTTTCATTCACTCACCAAAAATTCTAACCTCATTTTCATGCATGGGTACGTTCTATCTACACGTGTACAACTACATTAATTTAAAAAAATGTATTATATTTAAAGATAAAATCTAATAATTTAACTATTATTTATTATAATATAATAATAGGATTTAGTTATAATAACATAGTACAATTCATATAATCATATTATTTTTATTAAAGTAAGATATCACTTACTGAAGTGTATATAAAAATACTTTTATAAATTGACTTGAATACAATCTCTCGGCATTTACAATTACGAAAATTATATTTTAACATACATGCTTTTAAAAAAAGCTTCCATTTAACAACCTTAAATAATAATATAACAAATTACCTTAAACCCATTTTATATCAGTAGATTTAGTTTTTTTACCGGTGTAGGGGTTTCCAATATATCAACCACTTACAATTATTTATTATTTTATTTTTTATTTATTAAATTGAGCATTAAAATATCACTGATTTATAAGTAAATGTCTATTTAATTCTTGATTCACATGAACTCATTCTTATCGTTAATCATTCAACTTATAAAACAAAAAAATATTCCATCTCAATAACAAGCTCGATCAAATATTACCCTACAATAAAAATTTATTTTAAAAAAATATAACCAACTTTGATACTACTTGTTAAAAGAGGTAATCATACAAAATAAAAAATTTGCCGGTAGCTAGATTAACATTTCTCACTTAGAACCTATGAATTTCTACATTCTAATAAAAATGTAACCAATGAAATAAATGCAACTTCAGAAATATGAAATGAAAATGTGTCTATTCGTTTAACAATGTCAAAAATGTTCGATTTTAAAGTAGGGAAATAATATTTTTCAACTAAAATATATATACGAGAGAATTAGGAATTGACACTTAATATTTTACGTGGAAAACTCTCTATAAAGAAATAATTATGGATAAGACCAGAGAAAGATTTTCACTATATGGAAGAATGATTACAATTTCTCTCTAAATTAGAAGGAAATAACAATTTCTCTCTCTTCGTAAAATAGGAGAAATCACTTGCTAGAAGAACCTCACAGGAGAGACTTTATATTCTCTCTGATTTAATCACTCTTGCTGGGATGTGTTTTCAAAGCATAGTAGGAAGCCAGTATTTATAGAGAAGAAAGGACTTCTCTTTTTTTGCTTAGCATTTAATGCCACTGTAAAACTGTGACTATTTTCTTTCAATAGCCAACAAATAGCTCACAAATAGCTCTCTTATTTTGACTTCCACAAAAGTGGCTTTACGGCAACTGTAGTCACAATCTCCCACTTAAAGTCACTTTTGTGAGTTTCAAAATCTTTCTCTACTTGCCTGTTCCATGCTGCTTATGCTTCTAATAAACCATAGGAGGATCTGCACCATATAAACTTATCAGAGTTGATTAGTTTTGTCATAGCATTTGCTAGGTTATCTTTGGTATGAATCTTTTGCATATTCACACTCCCTTTCTCTACTACTTCTCTGACAAAATGATATTGTACTCCTATGTGCTTCGTTCTGGAATGAAAAGTTAA